TTTTCACATCGAAAAGCTTGGGGAAACATTTTGGAGATAAATATATAAAAAGATGAGCTAAAGTAAAGCTGTTCATTTGTCGATCTGATTGCCAATAAGTGTAGAACAAAAAAACGAGATTTGATTGACTCTAACGGCTAATTTTTTTTTTGGTTAATTCTTCTGAAAGGTCGAATTATTTGGATTAAGCTTTGTCATAAAATCAAATTTCTTTAAATTTCTTTAAATTTCTTTAAATTTAACAATAACAATCAAATAATTCGTCATTTTCTAGCTTTTTTTAGCTTTTTTTAGCCTTTTTTAGCGTAAATTTGTGATAAAAATGATGAATTCACGGTTTTCATCGAAAAGAAAAGCAATTCAAATATAAAGTAAATCTAGAAATACAAAGATAAAGCTAAACTTTTTGATTCTTCTTAGCAAATCTTCTCAACTTGTTTTCTTCGATTAATGAATCGAAGAAAACAAGTTGAGAAGATTTGCTAAGAAGAATCCAAGAAAGAAAGAAAGTAAGTAAGAAAGTAAGAAAGCAAGAAAGCTTAAATCTCTTCTCTATTCACCTTTTTTTCATTCTCGAAAATTGCTCGATTGATGGGAAAAGAAAAAAGATTCGAAAAAAGGATACGAACAGCTCAACTTTCTTTTCTTTCTAAAGGGAATTTGTTTGGGGAATTTGTTTCAAACTATTGTTTCTTCTTCTTTTTCTTCTTCTTCTTCTCTTCTTCTCTTCTTCTTCTTCTTCTTTCTTCTTTTCTTCCTCCCTCTTCTTCTTCTTCTTCTTCTTCTTCTTCTTCCTCTTCTTCTTCTTCTTCTTCTTCTTCTTCTCTCTTCTTCTTCTTCTTCCTCTTCTTCTTCTTCTTCTTCTTCTTTCTTCTTCTTCTTCTTCTTCCTTTCTTCTTCTTCTTCCTTCTTCTTTCTTCTTCTTCTTCTTCTTCCTCTTTCTTCTTCTTCTTCTTTTTTTGTTCATCATCTGAGCGATGACCCTTGACAAGTTGGATCCTTTTTTAAAAAGAAAAAAAAAGAGAGAGAAGTATTCAGGGTGAAAAGAGAAGTACATCATATCTTTTGTTCTTTAATTTTCAACAAAAAACTTCAAAAATCTTGATTTCAGAATCGATTTTAGTATTAGATTGAGGAAAAAGTTGAGTTGATTACCAAAAATGGCCGGAAAACGATCAAATAGTACTCCTTGAAGAGCTTGTAAAATGAGTTGTATATCTCGAATCGGGGAACTTTTAAGAGAAAAATGTAGCCAAGATTAAGGGCTTCAATATTTTATGCAACACTTAACACATTAGAGTTGAACTTGGCGCTTGGGAGCTAGTCGATCAAAAAGAAGTCGTTGGAAATACTAAACACCTGGTAGTAGGTATTAGGTTGAGGAAAAAGTTCGCACTTAGCTCAGCGAAAAATTCAATTTTTATGCATTTCGTTGTGTTAGTGTTTTACCAATTTTGATCTTTGTTTTCCAGATGAGTTTCCAAGAAAAAGAGCTTCGAGTTTTCATTCGCTATTGCTGGAAATGGACACTTTCAATTTGAAGTCATTCGAGTCATTTAAAGAAGTTGAAGAAGCCTGCCAAGAGTGCCAAGAGCCAAGAACCTTGCCTTGACTCCTTTTCCTCAACTTGCCAAGAGTTATTTAATTAAAAACCAAAGGAGTGGTACTTGGACAAAGCCCGAAAGCTTGCAGATCGATGAGAGAAAGTCGTAGATAATCATGGGTTATCCTTTAAAGGATAATTCTTCTTATTCTTGTTATTTTTGTTATTAAAGTGCGTATAAAAATTAATTTTTTCGCAGCTAAGAGAGGACTTTTTTCCTCAATAGCCGTTGTAGCCAACCGGATAGGAGTCTTGTCTCCTAGTCGGGGGGTTAAGGGTTCGATCCCGGCGGCTAGAAAGATTGATTCTTTTTCCCATTATTATGGGTTTTTTCTTAACAACATTTAGGGATAATTAGGGGTAAAAATCTCCTCCGTTGTGTTGTAATTCATTATTCATGTTGAATAAATATACAACCTAGTATATCGACTCTATAAAATCTTTGTTTTATCTTCAATGAACTGAAGCAACAGTTTTTTTTTGTCAAGAGTATTGAATTTCAGAAAAAAATGGAATGAAATGGTAAAATTGCGTGTCAAAAAACTAAAAGAAATCCAAAAAAGAGAGAAAGAGAAAAAAATTAAAATATGAAAATGAGAGTTAGAAAATTTGGATAGAATTTGTTTGAAAATGATTTAGACTGGATATTTGCTTGATTTGGTGATTAAGGTGAGCTGTTTAAGGTGAGCTGATTAAGGGGAGCTGTTTAAGGGGAGCTGATTAAGGGGAGCTGTTTAAGGAGAGCTGATTAAGGGGAGCTGTTTAAGGAGAGCTGATTAAGGGGAGCTGTTTAAGGTGAGCTGATTAAGGGGAGCTGATTAAGGGGAGCTGTTTAAGGTGGGCTGTTTAAATAAATTCTATTCTATTCTATTCTATTCTATTCGATGAATTAAATGAATGAGCTTAGATATTTCTTTTTCTTATTCATTTCTAGAATGTCATTTGATTCCAATCTTTTTTTTCACATTCTTTTCTTTGAAATCCAATCCATTCTCACTCGAAATCCATAAAACTTTGCACTTATTTTTTTCAAAAACTTTTGCGGTTAAAGTTTTGTTCAGTTGAAAAATTTTCTGGACTTTGCATTTGTAAACGCATCCTTTCTGGGAAACTTATCATGTGCTAAATGGTGTTTTTGAATGTTTTCTTGAATTCAAAATCGTTGAATCCTAAATTTTCCATGTATATTTTCAAAAGTGGATCTAATACAAATGAAAAAAAACGAATTTAGTAGAAAATTAAATGGGAAATTGAATAATTGAGTTTTTAAACTTAAAAAATTGTTTGTTGAACAAACAACACAACAACAAACAACAACAAACAAACAACTTGTTTGACTTTTTAAAATGCTTGTTGCTGTTTGAAGTTTAAATGTTTGAAGCACTGGTACAAGCACTGGTACAAGCACTGGTACAGGCTCTGGTACAAGCACTGGTACAGGCTCTGGTACAAGCACTGGTACAAGCACTGGTACAAGCACTGGCACAGGCTCTGGTACAAGCACTGGCACAGGCTCTGGTACAAGCACTGGCACAGGCTCTGGCACAAGCACTGATACAAGCACTGGTACAAGCACTGGCACAGGCTCTGGTACAAGCACTGGCACAGGCTCTAAGTTCACGGAAAACGTTTTTTTCTTCTCAACAACGAGAATTCTCTTGTTTCAACATCAAAAAAAGAAAGAATTTCTTTGCCATCTGTTTTGGGGAAAATCAAAAAAAAAAAAAAGCTTATCTTCATGATTATTTGAAGAAAAACTTGTAATGATTCGATAAAATATTAATGAATTTACAGGTGGATTTATCAAGAAAAGAAAAAAAACCCGACAATTCCGTGGGCGAACATTAAGAAAAAGAAAAAGCAAAAGCAAAAAAAAAGACTCGATTTTCACAAATTGCATTTTCTTTCGGGTCAGGCGAAATTTAAAATAAGCTTTGGAAAGTTTCTTTGCCTACGAAAATGAGAAATGGATTTGTGCAGAAGGAAGAAAAAAAAAGAAAATGATAGAAAAAGAAAATGATAGTATTTAGGTGAAATATCGAAAGAAAATTGCTTCAATGTGAGTTTTTTGATAGAGATTTATGTTTATGTTTCTTAAAAGTTAACCACAAATGAATGAATGATATGTTTATGATAACAAACATTTGTTTGTTAGAGATTTTTTCAAAAATTGAAAAGAATTTTGTAGAATATTCAGAAATGAGTCAAAAAAGGCAAATTGAGTGAAGAAAATTCTTTGATTGGAGGTTTCGAGATTGAAAAAAATGCATGTATGGATATGTGAAGAAAGAAAAGAAACAAGAATATTCAATGGGGAAAAGGAGGTGAGGAAGAAGAGGAAGAAGAAGAGGAAGAGGAGGAAGAAGAAGAAGAAGAAGAAGAAGAAGAAGGGAGGGACATCTTCTGAAACCTTCAGTCACACATCTTTTCGCGCCCACGAGATAGGAGAGAGGAGGGGCCCTAGGGGTCCGTGGGGAAATGCTTGCCCCCCTTTCCTCTTTTCCCGTCTCTTTTCTTACATATCCAAAGTGGATCTCATGAAGGACCCTCTTCTCCTCTTTTTCATGAAAGCTGTGAAACTCAGGCCTTTTTACATATTTCTCAAGTTTTTCCTCTGACCTCTCAACTCTGATTCTTTTCTCGAGTTGCTATTGATTCTGATTGAGAAAAAACGATTGATCTTGATTGGGAGAATTGATTAGGAATGTGAAATCAATCACAACGATCAATCAATCAATACTGATTGATCTAAAAATTGTATTGAAAGGATCGATCAAGAAAATCGATCAAGAAAATTGATCAAGAAAAGCGATCAAGAAAATCGATTCAGAAAATCGATTCAGAAAATTGATGTTAAAACTCTTGATGTTAACATTGTTATATATTTTGGAAGTGAAATGGATGAGAAAAGATTGGAAAGAGAAAGGAGATAGACAAATGAGTCTATCACCCAACAAATGATCCATGTTTCTAGCTGATTAGAAAAGGATAAAGAAAGAGAAGAAAGAAAAGAAAGAGAAGAAAGAAAAGAAAGAAAAGAAAGAGAAAAGCAAAAGGAAATCCACGTGAATGTTTCCAAAAGAGAGATGAATATGGAGTCAGCTGTTCCCTGGAAAGCCATTCCATTTCATTTGAAAGGTGAGGGTGTAACGAGAGCTAGGCAATAGCTGTGCAAGAGGACTTACAGGTCATGCCTCCATTCCTTTCTCTTTTGCCTACTTCCTGGGGAGGGTGGGCATCAATTGTGTCTTCTTCTTCTTCTTCTTCTTCTTCTTCTTCTTCTTCTCCTTCTTCTTCTTCTTTATCTTTCATCTGTTCATTGCTGTAAAGTTTTTCTCCCCGTGTTCCCTTACATCATTCTTTTCCAGTGAACAACACAAAATTGACGCGAATCTCATAAAAGAGAGCTCAGCGTTTGATCGATTTTGATGAGATTAAATGATCGAATGAGAATCTTTTCTTTATCTAAATCAATAATCAATAGAATCTAAATCAATCGAACTAACATGCAACATGCAAAACTTCACAAAAAGCTTTGTTAGCTTTGTTTGTTATTCCCGATCTTGTTAACAATATGCAAGATCAGATTTAGTTCTTTTAACTTCATTTTCTCTTTAAATCTTTCAATGAAAGGTATTTTTTTTTTCAATAAAATAAATCTACCAATCAATCCATCAGGGATATCATCATCATCATTCATAAAATGTGTGTCATCAATGCATGATTCTGGCTCAGATGTCATTGATGCCACCGAAGGAGAAGTTCGACCTGAAATTCATCATTTAACAAAGCTTTTCTAGTCCTTTCTTCTAAAAGATATTAAATTTTAAAAACTATCATACTCTTGTACTTCTTCTTATTCTATTCTTTGATATTATATACCGTAAATACTGTAATAGTACCCTATTCTCCTCGTACAGTCGCGTAGTCGCAAAAGTTTTTTAGTATTTCATTTTTTTTCAAATCGCCCGTACTTTCAAAAAATGCGTCTTTGGTATCAAAAAAATAGCTGAAATTCAGGGCTATTTTTTGATACCTAAGCGCGCATTGTAGCATAAACCAGTGTCGAGAAAAACTCGTTCAAAGCTAGACTACGCAACGCTCCGCACCGTCATTATAAAAGCATGACGAGAAAAATGCGTTTAAAGTTCGACTACGTGATGCTCCGTCTTTTGATATCAAAAAATAGCTGAAATTCAGGGCTATTTTTTGATACCAAAGCGCGCATTGTAGCATAAACCAGTGTCGAGAAAAACTCATTCAAAGCTAGACTACGCGATGCTCCGGCCGTCATTATGGGGGTAGGGTACTATTACAGTATTTACGGTAGCTATAAATAAGATACATTTTTGGAATGATTAAAATGAAGAAACAAGTGTGCTAGAGATTGTAAAGAGCACAAGAGAAATTTAGTAAAGATAGATTTAGTAAAGATAGATTTAGTAAAGATAGATTTAATAAAGATAGATTTAGTAAAGAAAGATTTAGTAAAGATAGATTTAATAAAGATAGATTTAGTAAAGATAGATTTAATAAAGATAGATTTAATAAAGATAGATTTAATAAAGATAGATTTAGTAAAGATAGATTTAGTAAAGATAGATTTAATAAAGATAGATTTAATAAAGATAGAGTTAGTAAAGAAAGATTTAGTAAAGAAAGATTTAGTAAAGATAGATTTAATAAAGATAGATTTAATAAAGATAGAGTTAGTAAAGATAGAGTTAGGTAAAGAAGGATCTTTTAAAAATTGGTTATGAAGTGATTTAAAGGATTGAAAAAAAGGTAGAAGGTGAAGAAGAAGAAGAAAAAGAAAAAAAAACGAACCGGAAATGCTGGCGGGAACGGAGAGAAAGTTATGCGAGTAGAGATCTGAGCCCGCGCCTGAAATTTTCTCCCATTTTCTCTCATCATTCTCTCATTTTCTTTTTTTAAAGTATTGAATTGAAAGTTATTCAATGAACACTTTCAATTCACATTTTATTCTTTTTTATTTTTCTTTTAAAAACTTTCCCATTTTCTAAATTTATACAAAAAAAAATTGCTAAAAAAAGAAAAATCTTCAGAAAAACCTCTAGTTTAATTAAATTGAATAAACCGAAGGGAAAAATTATTAAATAATTCTAAAGCAATCGAATTCTAAAGCAATTCTAAAGCATAGAATTATTTTGATTTACTCGTCTTGAAGTTTAGCGTGAAAATCTGAACGGTAATCTTCTTGCAATCACTCTTTTCTCTTTTCTCTTTCACTTTTTACCTCTATCTCTTTTTACCTCCAGAAAAACCTCTAGTTAAAAGACTTTTGCTGGAGAAAAATTCTTCAATAATCAATTTCTAAAGCTATTCGAAAGCTATTCGAAAGCTAAAAGCACACAATTTTCGTTTATCATCTTGATTTACTCGTCTTGAAGTTTAGGGTAAAAATCTGAACGAGTTATAGCCCGTTAAGATCCTCTTCACCCTTTTTTTCCCTTTCATTTTTTATCTATTGGGTTGGGGAGAATGAGTCGGCGCCCAACTTTAAAGGGACTTTTTGCACACATAAAGCCTTCTTTAAACATACGTTTGGTTTCACGTGGAGTTTATGATTCAAAGGATCCACTATTTCTCTACAAAATCACTTTTGAGAGATTCCACAAAGCTTTTCTTTCGTGGAGTTTATGAACTTCCAAAGGCAGCTGGTTAAAATGGCAAAGAGTCCGACTCATCATTTGAACAGTTTCTTTCACATAAACCTCCTTTGGTGTTTATATAAAAAAGATAGAGCACATTCAATTACTTAAGTTGCCAAATTTGCAGGAAGATCCCACCAATGGTTTTTTCTAGATCACAGTTTGTAGTCTTTGTGAAAAAATGGCTTTTTCTTGAGCGGAGGCGCTGTTTGAATTTTCTTTTAAATGTCATTTTGTAGAGAATTAGTTAACCATTCTACTGATATCAAACGCATATTATTTGACGAAGTCGAATAGAAGTTTTAGACATTTTTTTGATTTTCGGCGCCGACTCATTCTCCCCAACCCAATACTAACGAACTGAAATTTGCGGTGTTTAACCAGAATTGAATAGAAATGAAAAAAAAAAAAGGAAAAAGGAGGATAAATTCCCATGAGAATTGAGTGGATGAGAAGAGAAAAAGAAAAGAAACAAGAAGAGAAGAAACAAGAAGAGATGAGAAGAGAAGAGATCAGATATTGCACCTTTGCACAAAGTTTTCAGAATATTCAGCGTCTAACATCGTGAACTCTATAGCTGAAATGGAAAAAGTCAAAAAATGCACAACTGAATTTCCAAATTAAAAACGGATTTCGAAGCTTAAAGCTCGAATTATTTTTGTAAAAACATTAGTCGAAAGGAAAAGATTCAAGTAAAAGGTAAAGATTTCTAAGATTTTTCAGCAAATTCACAAATCCACACGACTTTTCTTTGCTTTAATAATCATGAAATTCAAGCGTTTCAAATGTTTGCTTTATTTTCAGAGTAAACTTATAAACCCCTGTATAACTTTGTTAAGTCCTAAGCCTTTGCCGATGCTGGATGCTTTAATCGATCTGACCTGGAGCTTGGCCAGAAGTCAGAAATTGGCCAGAAGTCAAGCTCAAACTTGCTTTTGAATTGCCCGGAAGAATTGCCTTTAGAATCACTTCTTGAATTCCGTGGCTACCTATCTTTCATCTTCTTTTTTTCATCGAAAACTAACCCGTCCCTGCCGGTGCAGTTCCCGTTCTTTTCAATCTTCGATGCCCTTTCCTCATTCTTCCATTTATTTCATCTGGTGGCGGTTCAGTTGTCGGCTTTTCCCTAACCGACATCCATCTGACAGCTCTTCTGCCACGTTTTTCTCGCGGAGAATTTCCGTTCGAAAAGAAAACATCATCCAAACATTCGGGCGATGATTCAGCCATTCCAAAAAAGTCGAATTGAAATGGTGGAATTGAAAATTCGATGAAGAAATGAAGAAATGAAGAAATGAAGAAATGAATGAAGAAATGAAGGAAATGAATGAAGAGATCACGAGAATTTGATCGCCAATGATCTCTTTTGCATTAAGACTGAATTTCTTTTGATCTAAAATTGTAAAACTTTGAAAACAGATGAAAAATTTATATAAAAATGTACAAAGATAAAGGTATTAGCTTGAAGAAAAACAAGAAAAACAAGAGCTTTGCTGTTTTTTTTCAAGATTTCTTCTAGATTCAATGAAGATTTTCCCAAGGTGTCCATCGAGTTTTCCCAAAAAAAAGAAAAAAAAGCAAAGAGATCTCCATCTTCATTCTTTCTTTTTTTCTTTCTTTTCACTGAAATCTGGATAGAGCGTCGAGTTCAACAACGGTTCGAATCGGGAAAAAATGAGCAAAAGTAGGTGAAAGGATTGCATTTCATATGGAAAAGATGGCAAAAGACACACAAGAAGCACAAGAAATCAAGAGAACGAAGAATGGAAAAGAGATTATGAGGCAACCATCTTCTATGACAACTTTTCACGAAAACAAAAAGAAAATCACAAGTGGTGAAATGTCAGTGAAAAGTCGCATCATTTAAGCGGAGAATTTGAAGGATTTTTGAGGGTCAAAAGGGAAAAGATTTGCCCAAAATATTGTACTCATCGAGAATCCCATTATCAGGGTAATAGTTTTAACTAAATATTACAATTCCTACAGAGCTTTAGGTCTTCAGATATCGATTTTCTGATCGATCGAGTTTAAGCGGAGAATTTGAAGGAATTTTGGGAACAGATTTAGTTAAAAAGTGAACAGATTTCCCCAAAATACTTTACTCATCAAGAATCCCTGAAAAAAAATGATCGAAATCTAAACAGCTTTACAATATTCCCCATCATATGAGAGTTCATTTGAAAGCTTAAAACGTCAGCTAGTTGGGGAAACAAGCGTCAAAAGAATCCGATTATCAGTACAGTAGTTTTAACTAAATATTACAGTTCCCACAGATATCGATTTTTAATACCGTATTTTCTGTAATAGTAGTGCAGTCTGTAATAGTAGTGCAGTCTGTAATAGTAGTGCAGTCTGTAATAGTAGTGCAGGCTGGAGGGGGGTTGAAAAACTAGTAGTGCGCACTACTATTACAGAAAATACGGTAATGAAAATAGAAAGTATAAATAAGCATAGTGTAAACAGAATGTTTGCATTTATTACTTTTATTTATTATTGTCTGAATTTATTCTTTATTCTAAATAGTCATAATAACTTCTTTTACTTTCTAGTAGAGATTCTAGAGAAGATTTCTAGTAGAGATCTCTTAAAGTTCTTATCGATCTCTTAACGATAAATAATTAATAAAGATCTCTTAACGATAAATGACCATTTCGGATCCCTGAAAACAAATGATCGAAATCTAAACAGCTTTACAATATTCCCCATCATATGAGAGTTCATTTGAAAGCTTAAAACGTGAGCTAGTTAGAGAAACAAGCGTCGAACTTCTCAAGAAAATGCCTTTTGAAATATTTGATCGCGACTTTTTCTGTTAATTTCTGTCAATTACCGTTAAGAAATGAATCTTTTTACAAAATGATCGAAATTTGTGTCACCCGTTGAAGTTAGACTATCGATTTGTGGTCGGAATCGAAAGCTTTGAGACTATTGGAGGAAATTGGTGAAAGTTCTTTGAAATGTTCGAGTTTATGAGAAATTTGGAAGCATCGCCGCTAAGGTTGATTTGCCGTTTAGTATCTCCACTTGGAGTTTCTATCTATTCTAACGCTAGCTTTAAGCGTATTCTAACGCTCGATTAAACGAGTCAGTTTAGTTTTTATATTTTGTAGAATTAATTGCATAAATCTTTGACAAAAGATGAAGATGAAGAATGAATGAAGAATGAATGAAGAATGAATGAAGAATGAATGAAGAATGAATGAAGAATCGGAATCAGAAAAGGTCTACAAGAAACAGAAGAAAAAAAACATCGTCTAGAAGAAAAAGAAAAAGAAAGATTTGAAAGTTTTCAAAACTACTAACGTTGAATTAATTCATTGATCGTTGAATTAATTGCTTAAATCTTTGGTAAAAGATAGTTAACTATTAACAGTTGATCGGCGAAGAAGTTAACATCATTTTGAAAACTTTTTCATTGCTGAAACAAGATTTAGCTAGGTAGGCTAGGCTAGATAGATTTGGGGAAAAGTGTAGACGATGATAGGCTAAGTAAAATTGAAAAGAATTGGTGAATTGAGTTTAACAAAGAAAAGAGAAAATGAAGAATGAATGAATGAAGAATCGGAATCGGAAAAGGTCTACAAGAAACAGAAAAATCGTCTAGAAGAAACATTGTCTAGAAGAAAAAGAAAGATTTGCAAGTTTTCTAAACTACTAACGTTTCTTTAATTTCTCGAGGACCCATTTTGAGATGGATTGGAAAAGATTTGAGACAAAACAAAAAAAAAAAGATAAAAGAAGAACAGGCGGTGTGGAGTGATTTGTTGAAGAAATGGAGAAGAAATGGAGAAGGAATGGGGGAAAGAATCTCTCTTTCAGTCAATCAATGACCACTAACACAAGTGGATCTCCTTGACCAGATGACATTTTGTGCTTAGACAAACGCATCCTCTTTGGCACAGTCAATTGGCTTTATTTAGCATTTCAGTGTTCCAAGAGGCGTGTGTTTGCTTGTGCACAGATTTAGGCACTGGTACAAGCACTGGTACAAGCACTGGCACAGGCTCTGGTACAAGTACTGGTACAAGTACTGGTACAAGCACTGGTACAAGCACTGGTACAGGCACTGGTACAGGCTCTAAGTTCACGGAAAACGTTTTTTTCTCCTCAACAACGAGAATTCTCTTGTTTCAACAAAAAGAAAGAATTCTCTTTTTTTCACAAATGATAACCTATGCATTGAACTCGAAAAGAGAAAAACGAAGGGGATTCCCTTTTTCTTTCTTTTAATGACGTCTTTTCAACAGAACTCAACAATTTACTTTCAACAATTTACTATCCAGACAAAAGTCGATGTATTTTGAGGTTAAAAACATAGAAACACACCATTTCTAGCGAACATTGAAATACTTTCTCGTTATCAAAGTGTTGTTGTTGTTGTTGTTAAAAGAATGCATTGTACTAGAAAGGTTGGGTCTCTTGGAACACTGAAATGCTAAATAAAGCCAATTGACTGTGCCAAAGAGGATGCGTTTGTCTAAGCACAAAATGTCATCTGGTCAAGGGGATCCACTTGTGTTAGTGGTCATTGATTGACTGAAAGAGAGATTCTTGGGTTCATTTTTAAACTCAAAAAATAAACAATAAGCAATTTTAAGAAAATTATTGAAGATTATCTACAAAAAGAAAAGAAAAAAGCTGAATTCAATCAAAAATCTTGTGTTCTTTTGATGTGTTCAAATACTTTAAGCCCTCGAAAAAAAAGAAATTCCCCTCAAACCCAAAAATGAATAAATCAGAATGCGTTTTGGACAAAGTGATGTGTGAAAAAAAGGAGAATTTAAGGTAATAAAAATGAAATTTGTTATGATAAATTGAAGATTTTCTTTTTGTGTTTAATTGTATTCAAAAATCGCTTCAAATATGAGAATTTAGGGAGTGGGACAAATGCGACCTTTTTTTTGCGCACCCGGACATTTGCGCACCTTTTTTTTCCGCACCTTGCCCATTAGCGCACCTCTTTTTCGCGTTTGAAAGCTCTAAAGCGTAAAAAAGCTCTAAAAAGCTAATATTAACCAATTTCTATTCCAAAAGTTGTTTTTCTAGGTAATTTGAGGGCGTAGAATCGAAATTTTGGCATATCAGAGCTTGTGGAAACAAACGGACGGAGTTATACAAAGAGAAAAATCAACAATTTTCTGTAATTTGACCTAGCCGTTTTGTCTTTCAAATTGGTTCCACAAGCTCTGTTATGTCAAAATTTCGATTCTACGCCCTAAAATTACCTAGAAAAAGAACTTTTGGAATAGAAATTGGTTAATATTAGCTATTAGAGCTTTTTAAAACGCGAAAAAAGGTGCGCTAATGGGCAAGGTGCGGAGAAAAAGGTGCGCTAATGTCTGGGTGCGCAAATGTCCCACTCCCAGAATTTAAGCTAAAAAATATTTTAAAAATGAAATTTTCTGTGATAACTTGAATATTTTCATATCTTCCGTTCAAATTGTATTCAAAAATTGCTTAAAATCTTTTAAGGTTTCAGGGAAATATCTCTTTAAATAAATTAAACAAGTTTTGCAATTCGATTTAAGAGCAAAAATGCCCAGAAATCAAGCAAAATCTCTTGTCATTTTTATTTTATAAAATCTCATTCATTTTCTTTTTTTTCTTTTAGTTAAAGGCCAAAATTTTGTCAAAAAACTTGTGCTGACCTATCTTTTTTCTTTTCTTTTCTTTCTTTTCTTTCTTTTCTTTTCTTTTCTTTTCTTTTCTTTCTTTTCTTTTCCTTTCTTTTGAATGACTTTGAGAAATGAGAGATGGAATTGGGTGAAATCTCTCATTCAGCCAACACAGAAACGAATACATTGAAGGGATTGAAAGAAAAGAAGAAAAGAAGAAAAGAAGAAAAGAAAGGAATTCCCATGAGAGATTAGGACAGAAGAGTTTTTTTTTTTTTTTGAAAAGAAAGCCGAAATTATAAGAATTTATATATGTTTTTCGTCAATCAATTGACAATTCTTAAGGAAATTTGGGAAATTGAGGAAAAAAAATGGCTCGAAAAGAGAAAAAGACTATTGGCTTGAGTCTAAGAAAGTCTAAGAAGTCTAAGAAATTAAAGTAGAATGGAAAAAAAGTCTAGAAATTATGTAAACAGTGACAATTTTGAAACAAAATGCTTTTATGATCATTTAAAGATAAGCTTTGTTTAGTTATCTAGGAATCTAGGAATCTAGGAATCTAGCTATCTAGAAATCTAGCTATTTAGAAATCTAGCTATCTAGGAATCTAGGAATCTAGGAATCTAGGAATCTAGGAATCTAGCTATCTAGGAATCTAGGAATCTAGGAATCTAGCTATCTAGAAACCAGCTATCTAGAAATCTAGCTATCTAGGAATCTAGGAATCTAGGAATCTAGCTATCTAGGAATCTAGGAATCTAGGAATCTAGGAATCTAGCTATCTAGAAATCTAGCTATTTAGAAATCTAGCTATCTAGGAATCTAGCTATCTAGGAATCTAGGAATCTAGGAATCTAGCTATCTAGAAATCTAGCTATCTAGGAATCTAGCTATCTAGAAATCTAGAAATCTAGAAATCTAGGAAACTAGAAATCTAGGAATCTAGAAATCTAGGAATCTAGAAATCTAGGAATCTAGCTATCTAGGAATCTAGCTATCTAGGAATCTAGGAATCTAGGAATCTAGCTATCTAGGAATCTAGCTATCTAGAAACCAGCTATCTAGAAATCTAGCTATCTAGGAATCTAGCTATCTAGGAATCAGAGTGTTTCAAACGATCTGTACTCTACTTTTGTATCTGTCTGTACTCTACTCGATCATTTGAAACACTCTGACGAGCAGGCTAAAGTCTGGCAAGAAGCTGCTAAGCCAAATTACCAAAAAAGTCAAATTATCAAGCCAAGCCAATGTTTTAAGATAAATTCTATGGAAAGTCATTGGTTTTTTTTGCCAACTAAGCTAAGCCTTCTTTTGGGACAAATTTGCAGCAAAGCTAGGAACAGAACAAGTTTTTCTAGCCCTACGAGAACAAGCTTTTTTAGCCGACAATCGTATTCTGGTCTAACATTGCTTGATTTATCTAAAATTATATTTGAAATAAATTGAGAAAATGAAAAAAACGAATTCGATGACTGTAACAAGTTGATGAATCCAATTTCAATGATACACTGACAAAGAAAACATTCAATTTTTGCAACATTCAATCAGTCAAAAGGATTTCCTCTCAGATCCACCTTTTTTTGATTGCTTGATCTGGATGGGGAAGAGAAAAGAAATAAAAGAAATAAAAGAAAGATTTTATGAGTCTCTTTCTTCTTTTCTTTTTCTCACAAAATGGGCCTTTTCTTTCTTTTTCTCTTAAAGTTGAAACTCCAAGAAGAAAATGAGAAAATTCTCGTTGTTTAGCCTTTCATTTATCCATTTATTTCAAAAAAGAACAAGATGAAATTAGAAAATTAGAAAAAAGTAATGAATTAATGAAAAAAAAACGTTAGACTTTTCTATTAGTTTTACAAATGAGTAGGATTAGAGTAAGATAGACTTCTTAGACTTAGATAGACTAAGATAGACTTAGATTCTTACAAGAAGAATTGTTGATTGATTAAAGAATAAAGTTTTACACTAAAAGAAAACTTTCATAATACAAGTTGAAGAGATTACATATTTTTTTCTGGTCGCGTTTCACCAAAAACGAAAATTTCCCTTTTTTTTTTTTGGTTTTAGCAACGAGAAGGGTTTTGAGTGATGAAGAACAAAAAAGAAAAGAGAAAAGTGAATGGATTTGAAGAAAGAAAGAAAGAAAGAAAGAAAGAAAGAAAGAAAGAAAGAAAGAAAGAAAGAATCAAGAAAATAAAGAAAATAGAGAAGTTTTCATTTAAAAATCATCATTCTGAATCAAAGTAAGGAAAAATGATGAGAGAAAGAAGGAGAAAAAGGGGAAGAAACTGAAGAAAGAAAGAAAGAAAGAAAGAAAGAAAGAAAGTAAGAAAGAAAGAAAGAAAGAAAGAAACAAATATTTCAATCTTTTTAGCTATAAGCACAACAATTTTGAGATTCTTTGTAAACAAATTCCACTTAAAGAAGTCTCCGATCTCTTGTAAAGATAATCGACTATGTATGCTAGAAAGTGAGCATTTCAGTGATAAAGTAAAACATAGAAATAAGCTTTCTTTAAAAATAATATACAAATAATTGAAATCAGTACGATGATGAGCTTTTTCTTCGCAAATTCTCAAATAAACTTTTTGATTTTTTTTAAAAGAATCGAAATTTGACTAAATAATTAAAGAAAAAACTCTTGAAAAGCGAAAAAATTAACTTAAAAATAGCAAAAAGTTTATCAGTAAATGATTTTTTTAAAATTTATTATTAGAAAAAAGCATTCTCGAGCATTAAAAGCATGAATTTAAGGAAAAGGAGAAGGAAGAAAAGGAAAAGGAAGAAAAGGAAAAGGAGAAGGAAGAAAAGGAAAAGGAAGAAAAGGAAAAGGAGAAGGAAGAAAAGGAAAAGGAAGAAAAGGAAAAGGAGAAGGAAGAAAAGGAAAAGGAAGAAAAGGAAAAGGAGAAGGAAGAAAAGGAAAAGGAGAAGGAAGAAAAGGAAAAGGAAGAAAAGGAAAAGGAGAAGGAAGAAAAGGAAAAGGAGAAGGAAGAAAAGGAAAAGGAAGAAAAGGAAAAGGAGAAGGAAGAAAAGGAAAAGGAGAAGGAAGAAAAGGAAAAGGAGAAGGAAGAAAAGGAAAAGGAGAAGGAAGAAAAGGAAAAGGAAGAAAAGGAAAAGGAGAAAGAAGAAAAGGAAAAGGAAGAAAAGGAAAAGGAAAAGGAAGAAAAGGAAAAGGAAAAGGAAGAAAAGGAAAAGGAGAAGGAAGAAAAGGAAAAGGAGAAGGAAGAAAAGGAAAAGGAGAAGGGAAGAAAAGGAAAAGGAGAAGGAAGAAAAGGAAAAGGAAGAAAAGGAAAAGGAGAAGGAAGAAAAGGAAAAGGAGAAGGAAGAAAAGGAAAAGGAGAAGGAAGAAAAGGAAAAGGAGAAGGAAGAAAAGGAAAAGGAAGAAAAGGAAAAGGAGAAAGAAGAAAAGGAAAAGGAGAAGGAAGAAAAGGAAAAGGAGAAGGAAGAAAAGGAAAAGGAGAAGGAAGAAAAGGAAAAGGAGAAGGAAGAAAAGGAAAAGGAAGAAAAGGAAAAGGAGAAGGAAGAAAAGGAAAAGGAGAAGGAAGAAAAGGAAAAGGAAGAAAAGGAAAAGGAGAAGGAAGAAAAGGAAAAGGAGAAGGAAGAAAAGGAAAAGGAAGAAAAGGAAAAGGAGAAGGAAGAAAAGGAAAAGGAGAAGGAAGAAAAGGAAAAGGAGAAGGGAAGAAAAGGAAAAGGAGAAGGAAGAAAAGGAAAAGGAAGAAAAGGAAAAGGAGAAAGAAGAAAAGGAAAAGGAAGAAAAGGAAAAGGAAAAGGAAGAAAAGGAAAAGGAAAAGGAAGAAAAGGAAAAGGAGAAGGAAGAAAAGGAAAAGGAGAAGGAAGAAAAGGAAAAGGAGAAGGAAGAAAAGGAAAAGGAGAAGGAAGAAAAGGAAAAGGAAGAAAAGGAAAAGGAGAAGGAAGAAAAGGAAAAGGAGAAGGAAGAAAAGGAAAAGGAGAAGGAAGAAAAGGAAAAGGAGAAGGAAGAAAAGGAAAAGGAAGAAAAGGAAAAGGAGAAAGAAGAAAAGGAAAAGGAGAAGGAAGAAAAGGAAAAGGGAGAAGGAAGAAAAGGAAAAGGAGAAGGAAGAAAAGGAAAAGGAAGAAAAGGAAAAGGAGAAAGAAGAAAAGGAAAAGGAAGAAAAGGAAAAGGAGAAGGAAGAAAAGGAAAAGGAGAAGGAAGAAAAGGAAAAGGAAGAAAAGGAAAAGGAGAAGGAAGAAAAGGAAAAGGAGAAGGAAGAAAAGGAAAAGGAAGAAAAGGAAAAGGAGAAGGAAGAAAAGGAAAAGGAGAAGGAAGAAAAGGAAAAGGAAGAAAAGGAAAAGGAGAAGGAAGAAAAGGAAAAGGAAGAAAAGGAAAAGGAGAAGGAAGAAAAGGAAAAGGAAGAAAAGGAAAAGGAAGAAAAGGAAAAGGAAGGAAAGGAAATTCTTTCTTTTTTTCTTTCTTTCTTTTTAAAGATTCTTTTTAAGGAAAAGTTTGTGATTTAAAGAAATTTCAAGGAATTTCAACACAAGGAAATCACCGTTTATTATATGATAAAATTTTATGGATTTATTGTAATATGATTTCTTTTTGTTTTTTTTTTCTTTTCTATTCTTTTCTCCTTTCTTTCAACTCACGTGGTTCACTTGCTCGTCCGCCATTCATTTTCTTTGATGTTCCTCTTCTTGGCGAATTTCCCGGAGTGACTGTTCGGGATGATGACGTGAAAACAATTGGTGGTACAAGCTCGCCAACTTGTCGAGGCTAAAAATCGATTTTCTTATCTCATATCATGTAAATGATGAATGTTTCTAAGCTTTAAATGGGGTTGGTTAATTTCCGTCATTTTATTTGGATCATTTGCGCAACTGGATCGTTTGCACAACTGGATCATTTACGCAACTGGATCATTTACGCAGCTGGATCGTTGGCGCAACAGGAGCTTTGGCGCAACAGGATCATTTGCGCAACAGGATTATCGGATGGATCAATTGGATCATTTGCGCACAACTCGCCATAACTTTCTTCTAAATGGTCCAATCTTTATGATTTCTAGTGTCATTTTGTTGTACTTATTAAGCTCTATAAAATCACACTAGAAATCATAAAGATTGACCCACTTCGAAGAAAGTTATGGCAAGTTGCGCAAATGATCCAATTGATCCAATTGATCCATCCAACGATCCAGCTGCGTAAATGACCCAATTGCGTAAATGATCCAGTTGCGTAAATGATCCTGTTGCGTAAATGATCCAGTTGCGTAAATGATCCTGTTGCACAAATGATCCAGCTGCGTAAATGATCCAGTTGCACACATGATCCAGTTACGTAAATGATCCAATTGCGTAAATGATCCAGTTGCGTAAATGATCCAATTGCGTAAATGATCCAGTTACGTAAATGACCCAGCTGCGTAAATGATCCTGTTGCGCAAATAAAACGACGGAAATTAGTGCACCTCATTTTAATGCTAAAAAAAATGAAAAGCGAACACTTTAGATTAAGAAAAATGAATGAGTAAATATTAAAATTTTGTAAAAATTCTAGAAAAAATATCTAAAGAGCGGAAAAAAAAGACGAAATTTTGCACGAATTTGCCTCGAACTTTGACTTGAATTAGATCACACAAAAGCGTTATTTCAGAAAGTGCCATTCACGCAAAAATCGACAAATGATCAGTCAAATTGTAGACTTTTTAAAGGAAATCATTTTTATATAAAGATAAGTTCGAAATATTTGCAAAAGATTGACTGAAAAAGTGTCAAAAAAAAATCGTTTGAAAATACCGCTGAATGAGCTCTTGATTCTCGGGTGATTGGATGCAAAAAGGACACTCGTTTGCTCACTGCCTAATCAATTAACAAATGAAATTGAATTCATTTTTGTCTTCTTTCTTTTGTTCTTTTTCCTTTTCTTCTTTCTTTTTCTACAATTCTTTATTACCCACATTGATTTTTGAAAGTTTTCGTATATTCCAATCTTTCCCAACGTCAAGTGACTCCAAATCGAGAAGAATTGCAGATCGATCTTGTTGCTGAAATGACAACAAATGCACAAAGAAAAAAAGAAAGCATTGGAAATGATTTTTCAATGATCTGATCATCTGATTTCTGATCTGATCATCTGATTTCTGATCTGATCAAAAAGAATCTGATCAGTTCTTTATTCAAAAACCTTGTAACAAGTTTGAAAGGTTTGAAAGCAATTTAGAAAGAAAGTTGCTTAGCCACAAAAGTCTATTGTTGATTTAGAGAGATCTTTCTCAAGCCATCAACACATCAAGCCGTTCAGGGAAACAAAAAAAAAAACATCGCTTTTCGTTTATTGCTAATCGAGCCATTGATCGACGTGACTCATTCTAACTTTTCTCGAATCGATGAACCCACCGCCGATTGTCGCAAAGCCACACATCAAACCGTTCAGGTTCATAAACAAAAAAGACATCATTTTTGTTTTTCTGATGAAGCCATTGATTGACAAATTTTGCCTGATCTCTAAGTGATCTCAAATCGATTTCACTCACCGCCGATTGTGATCTTTGTTTCCTCAAAGCTGGTCTTTGCAATGGCCAACTTGCATGATTCCCTTTTTCGCCATTTCCTTTTGATGATCCATTCTCTATTGAAAGTGAATCCCATTCCGAATTCACCGATCCTTGAGATCCTTCAAGGCTCTCATCTTGAGACATCGAATATAAAGAAGAATATTTATTTGAATATTTATCTGTAAAATTGTTTTTGTTGTAAAATGTAATGTAAAATGAAAAGAAACAATTTTTCATTTCATTTCAATAAAAAGTTGAACTGTTTTGATCTCAAAGATGAAAAAAATGAAGGAAAAAAGAGAATTGGATTAGGAAAATGCGTTGAGAATAGAGAAAGAAAAGATTTTACTTCATAGAGAATGAAATAAGATCAACAAAAAAGAAGACAACAACATAAAAATAAAGAAAAGAAACGAATAGAGATGATAAATCGGTGAGGGAAACAAAAAGAAGAGAAGAGGGAGGAAAAGGGAAGAAGTTGGATGTTGTTGTCTTGGAGAATGGAGAGGAGAGTAAGTAAAGGTTTACGATGATATTTCATATATGATTCAAAGATCTAGCTGAGTAGAGTAAGAACAAGAAGTAGTAAAATGAGCAAATGTAGCTTACAAATCACTTGTACAGGAATACTGTAGCTATTGCATACTTAAATGAAACTTCTACTCTATCTTCTACTTTAACTTCTACTTTAACTTCTACTCTATCTTCTACTTTAACTTCTACTTTATCTTGTACTCTATCTTCTACTTTATCTTCTACTCTATCTTCTACTCTATCTTCTACTTTATCTTCTACTTTATCTTCTACTCTATCTTCTATTCTCCCTTCTACTTTATCTTCTACTCTATCTTCTACTCTATCTTCTACTTTATCTTCTACTCTATCTTCTATTCTCCCTTCTACTTTATCTTCTACTCTATTTTCTACTCTATCTTCTACTCTATCTTCTACTTTATCTTCTACTCTATCTTCTACTCTATCTTCTACTTTATCTTCTACTTTATCTTCTACTCTATCTTCTATTCTCCCTTCTACTTTATCTTCTACTCTATTTTCTACTCTATCTTCTACTCTATCTTCTACTTTATCTTCTACTCTATCTTCTACTCTATCTTCTACTCTATCTTCTACTTTATCTTCTACTTTATCTTCTACTCTATCTTCTATTCTCCCTTCTACTTTATCTTCTACTCTATTTTCTACTCTATCTTCTACTCTATCTTCTACTTTATCTTCTACTCTATCTTCTACTCTATCTCTACTTTATCTTCTACTTTATCTTCTACTCTATCTTCTATTCTCCCTTCTACTTTATCTTCTACTCTATTTTCTACTCTATCTTCTACTCTATCTTCTACTTTATCTTCTACTCTATCTTCTACTCTATCTTCTACTCTATCTTCTACTTTATCTTCTACTTTATCTTCTACTCTATCTTCTACTTTATCTTCTACTCTATCTTCTAAAAAGTAAAAGTTACATTGTATAGGAAATTTTGGAAAGAAACGAATACAGAAAATAGAGAAAAGATTCGAGATTTAGCTATACAACTCGTTTTTTGAAACCTAATTTCACCTGTGAGCCATTGTACAGTTTTAGAGAGCTTATAGTTCAAGAATTTGTATTGAAATGAATAAATTCGGTAATGACAGACTGTAATGACAATTCAGTTTGTTGTAGAAAATCTAGGCAAAATTTTAAGGAGACTTGTAGAAAATCGAGGAATTGATGAAATATGGTGGGTGGGGTGGGTGAAAGCTTGTTCGGGACTCTTGTTCTTTCTTTCTTTCTTTCTTTCTCATTCATTTCATTCACTTCATTCACTTTATTCACCCATTCTTTGTCACTCAATCCCTTTCTTTCCCTTCCCTTTCTTTCTCTTCCCTTTCTTTCTCTTCCCTTCCTTTCCTTCCCTTTCTTTCCCTTCCCTTTCTTTCCCTTCCCTTCCTTCCCTTCCTTCCCTCCCTTCCTTTCTTTCATTTTTCTCTCTCTTTTCAATGCCGGTCACTATAAATGGGAAATGGGACATGTCTATCTTGAAGAAACAAAAAAAGGAAGAGGCAACAAGCAAAAGAAAAGTCGAAAAAGAATAAGAGCAATGTTCCGGAAAATCTCTCCAACTTCTTGATCATCTCTTTTTTTCTATGATTCATAAACTTTTTTAAATCAAAAGAAACAAAGCCAATTTTGGTTGAAGAATTGCAGTTGTGGTCAGATCTATGAAAATTTATTTGCTTTTATTGAATAAAAGTATTTTGACTAAGTTTTGTCCCCTTTAAGTAATGAGCTTTCTAAAATGCATTTATTTGCATTATTTTAGAAAACTAATGTACTAAAACTGCTAGAAATGAAAACGACTAACGTAGTGACTCAATTTTGATATTATTCAATGAAAAGAATGATGCGAAAATTGGACTAATCACTTGAAAAATGACATTTTAAGTGCTATAGTTACTTAAAATTAGTGTCATTTAGAAAGCCGGAATATAGATTTTGCATAAAAGGATTTTCAAAATTAAGGAGAATTTTATAAAATTGAATTGAAATTGAATTGAAAATGAACTGAAAATGAACTGAAAATGAACTGAAAATGAAGTCATTTCTTGATTTCAGCTGGTTTATAGGGGTTATGAAGGGGCAATGGGAGTGTCCGGAAGTGTAAATCATACACTTCTTGTCGTTTTTCATAACCAAATTTGAAATAGGTACTTAAAATTAGTATCATTTAGAAAGCCGGAATATAGATTTGCATAAAAGGATGTTCAGAATTAGGGAGAATTTTATAAAATTGAATTGAAAATGAACTTAAAATGAACTGAAAATGAACTGAAAATGAAGTCATTTCTTGATTTCAGCTGGTTTATAGGGGTTATGAATGAGCAATGGGAGTGTCCGGAAGTGTAAATCATACACTTCTTCTCGTTTTTCATAACCAAAGTTGAAATAGGAAATCAAAAGGGAAAACGAGAATAAACTGAGAATTATTTCAAGTGCACAAAACTCATTGAAACACTAGAATTTCAGAGAAATTGACACTTTACAATACAAGTGAGTCATTCGGTTTATGTCGATGAAAAGTTTTCTTTAATATAGATTTGCATAAAAGGATGTTCAGAATTAGGGAAAAATTTATAAAATTGAATTGAAAATGAACTGAAAATGAACTGAAAATGAAGTCATTTTTGATTTCAGCTGGTTTATAGAGGTTATGAAAGGGCAATGGGGGTGTCCGGAAGTGTAAATCATACACTTCTTCTCGTTTTTCATAACCAAAGTTGAAATAGGAAATCAAAAGGGAAAACGTGAATAAACTGAGAATTATTTCGAGTGCACAAAACTCATTGAAACAAACAGGATTTGAAAGAAATTGACACACTTTACTGAGTCATTAAACGTCTTGGAAAAGTTTAGTTAAATAGTTCATCAAGTTCATCAAGTTTATCCAAAGTTTATGGAAGTTTATCAAAGTCTACCAAAGTCTACCAAAGTCTACCAAAGTTTATCGAAGCTTATCAAGTTTATCAAAGTCTACCAAAGTCTACCAAAGTCTACTAAAGTCTACCAAAGCCTACCAAAGTCTACCAAAGTCTACCAAAGCCTACCAAAGCCTACCAAAGCCTACCAAAGTCTACCAAAGTCTACCAAAGTCTACCAAAGTTTATCATCGTTTATCCGACGAATTACGCATGAAACCCCATTGAGTAATTGAAAGAACAAAAGAAAATGAGAAGATTTCTCCGTATTTCTTATGCTTGAGTCCAGTCTTTTTCGTCCCTTTTTTCTCTCTTTTTTTATAAGACAGACATGTAAAAAGGGGAAATGGATTGAGGCAACTCTCGGAAAGACTCGATAATGAGCACAGCGGTTCTACATTCCCCTTTTTAGCCACTTTTCTGCAAATTTCTTAAACGCCTTTGATCATAGCAAAAAAAAAACAGTCATGCTAAACTGTGTGAAGTACATTATTTCGAAAACTAATGCCAGATTCGAATTCCCTATCCTCGAAAATCCCCTGAGTACAAATTTTTACGAAAATTCACCTTAAGAAAGTACGAAATTCAGGTACGATCCACCAGCCACTACGTTGCAGTACTAATGCCAAACCTAAGGTGTACTTTAGTCAGAAATGAATGCTGAAATCGGATTGATTCGATGATCGGATTCGCGATCATCGAAAGAGTGTAATTGTAAATTTTGAGCTTAATCGGATCAAAATCTACTTAAAAACTTAAAAACTACTTTGCTTCCAATTCATTGATGTATCAGAAAATTCATTTCTAATCCATTGGTAGATCAGAAAATTCACTTTCAATTCTTTGGTAGATCAGAAAATTCACTTTCAATTCTTTGGTAGATCAGAAAATTCACTTCTAATCCATTTATAGATCAGAAAATTCATTTTTAATCCATTTGTAGATCAGAAAATTCACTTCTAATTCATTGATCGATCAGAAAATTCATTTCTAATCTATTGATCGATCAGAAAATTCACTTCTAATTCATTGATCGATCAGAAAATTCATTTCTAATCCATTGATAGATCAGAAAATTCACTTTCAATTCTTTGGTAGATCAGAAAATTCACTTCTAATCCATTTATAGATCAGAAAATTCATTTCTAATCCATTGGTAGATCAGAAAATTCATTTTTAATCCATTTGTAGATCAGAAAATTCACTTCTAATTCATTGATCGATTAGAAAATTCATTTCTAATCTATTGATCGATCAGAAAATTCATTTCTAATCCATTTATAGATCAGAAAATTCGTTTCCGATCTACAGTCGGAAATGTGTTAAGAACGATAATGAAATAGATTTAAGTAACGAGCACGGTAAGAAGCTGTTATTCCCCCAAAAAATCTTTGTTCTTTTTAAAAATTATAAAATTATAAGAAAAATCAATTAATGATATCCAGACAAAAAAAAACCTCTTGTTGACGAAAAAGATTTCAATCCCCAACACACAAAAATGAGTCGAAAATTGTGTTTGGACTTTCTCTGAGGCCAATGTGGATCTTTCTCTTCTTTTTCTTTTTCTTTTTCTTTTTCTTTTTCTTTTAAAGAACTCTAACAAAATTTCTGGGCTTTTTTTCTGTTCAACTAATGGAAGTTTTAAGCTAAGAAAGAGGAAGAAAAGGGGAA